GTGAAGTTCCTTCCATCCCCGGCGTAGACAATAATCTCCATCCAGTGGTATACAATTGCTTTTTCACACTTTCCAGCATTAAGAACCTCACCTTATTAAAGTACCACCGCATGACTTTGTAAAACTCATGTTCTACACATGAATTACGAAGTGATCTCGAATGGGCCCTCACTGGAACCAACCATCACTCGGGATACTATCTGGGCGAGGAAGGAGCAGAAGAGCGGCCTGCTGCGTAGTCCCACTCCCTCAATATGTCAGCGTAGTCCTCTCTTTCGTTCCACTTCACAGTCGCTGTATGGCGATGCAGTCTGGCTTGCCCGTGATTCCTTCACTGCTTCGCCGTCTGATTCTCTTTTACTAACTGAATGTCTGCCGTATGTTGCACTGAGCCTAAAACCAACAGTGTCAACAACCAGTCTTCGGTAGAATTTTGTTCATCGATAACCTATTATCACACAGTATGTTGGTTCTAAACCCCACGACTTGCGTTCGCGGAACGTGTTTATTTGGATGTGGTAGCATCTATCACTACAATGCCCGCGGTGCTGTGATGCGCGTGGCGCTTCTGGCATGCTACCATCTTTGGATCCGCGCTTTCCAGTGGTCTACGGACAACTTGAATTTAATTCCTTTGAATGCGTCGATCGTCTGTTTTTCTCTGCACTCTCTCGTCCTTGTTGCATTTTGTGGTCATCGTGACCTCACATATTCCAGCTTTTCACACATGTTAAGTGCTCACCCATCCCGAAGTCCCCTCCCCTTGAAAAAGCTCGAACCAAGGCTCGCTGCATGTTTCTTGCACATTTCGATGTTCTTGCAGCCGCTGTCCTCTGTTTGTCTGCGTTTCGCAGCAGGACCGCCACCAAAAGTTGATGTCACGCAACCCTTTCCAATAGCTATTAGAGCGCAAACCTCGCGCCGTGGGACCTGAGTTGAAGAGTCTAATATGAGGAGATGACAAGGGACAAGGAGGTGACAAAAAGAACTGGATATGAGGTCATAAAATTATCGGATGATCATTGCTATTGCCAGTGTTGCGGTAATGTAGTAACGGTTACTACTTCTATATAGCAGGAAGTCCAAGAGACCAAGAGATACAGAGCGACCCGCTATATGCAGAATGGGTTCGAGGACAAGTCTACGAAGAAATGCTGACAAAAGCGAACCAGGAATTGACGGTGAGTCTGCGCTGAAAAGTTCCAACTTCTCTGTCTCAATGACGGCTCTACCAAGAGGGGGCGTTTGCTTGAACAACTTTGATCGTTTTGAAGGATCTGCCACGGATTTCGATGAGAGCATCGACAGCTACAGCTTGGCGCCTTCCCCGAAACGAAAGTCGAGGTGCACCTCCCATTTGGCGCATGTTTGGAATAGGTGACGATCTTTGTTTGCAGCTAACTTTACAAGATAATCCATTTCATCTATCACTTCAGACGCAAGGAGACGAGCGAACTGAAAAATTTTATAGGGCACGGGAGAACCGGGGTTGTGACGGAATATTGGGACTCAATAGGAAGAGTGTTCTTTCTACCTAGGCGCCTCTACCTAGAGGTAGCGTTCTGACAGCAAAGTATTTGTATTTCAACGGAATACACTTCTGCAGGTATGAGCGCTTGGAGCCCACCCACCACTTCCAGCGGGCCTCGTCGCTTACGAAGAATGCAAGGAGTTTCTAGAATACCTTGCACACGACGTGGTTCGACGGGCCTTACTAAGATATGTGGAATAAAAGGGAAATCGTAAATATTCGAAACCACTAATACCTCAGCGTTTTATAAGTGAGCACTGAACAAAATCGTTCTATCCTTTGAAAGGTAATCACCTCCTTTCTTTCAGTCGCTTGAATGTCCTATTTGGAGTAGACCATCTAGACGTCCGTACAGTAATAGAGAAGCTGAAATACATCGATTCAGGAAGCCCAGTGTACGCTGCGGTGGAGACGGAAGGTATGTGCTCATCAGAAGAGAGCAAGCCACTGACCCAGCAACTATTTGTTCCATAATCACAATGGAACAAATATCTAAAGAAGCGAGACCGCGAGCGCAGAGAAAACATTAAGACGTGCATGAAGAGGCGAAACCACTTTTAACTAATGCTAGCCTAGGAGATAATTATCCATATTTGGAGAAATCTATCCTCGCGAACAGTTACTAGAAGCGAAATCGAAGATTATTGGTACTATATGTCTCGATATGTACCTGCGAAAACTATTTAATGTGATGCATGATAATAAATTCTCACAAAAAAATCGAATCTTTAACAAAATAATATAAGTCACCACATTATGGAATTCGGCACTATGGAACTATTCCTACTCCAAGGTTCCGAAGTTCAAAGCCTCTAAGCTTTCTGGCTGCTACGTCGTGGGTCTCTGTCACGAACAGAGGAGCAAGTACGGGTACGACCATGATCAGCGAGCGATGGCATCAAACAACCGAAGAAGATCTTCTCCACAGGAGCGCAAACTGTCGTCTTGAGTACGTGATGGATTGCTCATCCGAGCAGTTGAGGAAAAGTCTGATTTGACTAAAATTTGGAAAGGCTTGAGTCTTGCAAGTATATAAGTGTATTGGCAGATGAGCTGTTTCCAGGATCGCAGGCGTTGAAATCTCGCATCAAACTTCTGAGTCAACGAAACGCCACCGTTAAAGTACTTGTTACTACGACAGCTGTACGGAGAAGATCCGTCTTCAAGACAAAACACATTGCTCATAGAAACATTGAAGCTCCAGGAGTATTCCACCGTGTCTTGGCCAGGAGGATCTTCACGTAGCAAACAATAAACATAACGGTAGTTCTCATTTGATTTGAATAATGATTGTACAAAAATTGACGAAACTATATCACGCTTGATTTCCAGGATAACGTGCACTGACTCCTTTGCGATGTATGCCTTTACGCATGGGAGTGCACATGTCTTGACAGCAGAAGCGTCCACGTTGCATCAACAAACACGCCGTGAAATTATACGGCTG